TGTCACTGGTTTATTGATATAAGAATAGAACTTGTGCAATGTGGTAGAGTATAATTCCATTGTGAGTAAAATTTATTTTGATAAAATCACACAGTGGAGTGTTATACAGTAATATTCTACTGATGATTACGTTTCGAGCACAATTCACAACTGCTCATAATCATATCAAGACACTACTCACACAACTTTTTAACTTCGTTTTGTTATGATTCCCCTATTCCTTACCTCTTGATTTCACTGATATTAATCTTTTCCATGTTTCTCGTATGAGTGATGAGTCATTCCTATTGTACGTGTCGGGTTTAGAATCTATGAAGAAAGATTCATTAGATGGAGGATTTCAATGGAGGATCCAATCAAATTAAATCCCTATAAAACCAATAGTTGAAAGATTCATTAATCAACCACTCTCTCCCACTACCTATTTTACTTCTTAGAATTTCAATCCTCTTCCATCCATCCTATTGTGTGGTTGTGTGTTAATGCATACAGTGCAATGCAATTGATGAGCTTTTTCTAAGTTACTTATCTTCTCGGGTAAAGGTCAACCATTCTTATTTTCAAGTATTGGTTTGTAGGAATTTGGTTGATTGGTTACAGGATTTCATCATGAGTTGACATTAGTCAGAGAACCATTGGAAAACCTGGGAGTACTGGACAGCTGTTCCGTCCTAGTTTGGTTCTCTTACTAATGTCAGCTCATGGTGAAAATCCTGTAACCAATCAACCGAATCCCTACAAACCAACACTTGAATATCAATGAGATGCTCACTAGCGACTTGCCTTATTCAGGTAGGTAGTTACCTGGGGTTCTAGTGAGAAGTCGTGACCAGTAGGGTGCAGCAGGTCGGGTGTGAGGACAAATACTCGCCAAAGACATTGGCTAGCGGTTGCGCTATATCGTGAATTGGCAGAAGTTAGAATTCATGCACTGGCCATTGGATCGGGTCCCAGTGGCTTAATGGTATACGAGCTCGCCTTGTAACCGGAAGGTGGGTGGATTCGTACTGATGAAGAGTCTCAAAGTAGGACGAAACATTTGTCCAGTACTCTCAGGTTTTCCAATGGTTCTCTAACCAATGCTAGCTCATGATGAAATCCTGTAACCATTCTTATTTTAGCTAAATTTTTATGTTCTGACAATCTGACTACCCGAGACCTACTAGTTTGACCTATGTAGTTGACCTAACTCATAGTCATTGTAAGGTATTGTTTAAATTATGTTATTTTCTTTAATTGGGTCGACCAGGTCTTTTAGCCTACTGAGCTTGTCCTACCTGGGTTAGTTTGTGGGTTTGAATGCTACCCTAATTCCTGCTTCATTAAGAATCCTACGTAGGGTCTCAGATATCCCCTCCCTCCTTATGTGGTAAAACTGTAGATGCCTTATATTCCCTCTTATTTATGTTACCATTATTAGTTTCCCCATTATTTTTTATTTTGCTTTTGACCTTTTCTGATCTTCCTGATGAATCTCATAGGATACTTGTTTAACACCAACGCTTCTGCTTCGATCTGTTTCATTTCATCATTTCAGTCCTTTTTTTGTACCACTTAGTGGTACTGCTCGGTTTGTTAGACAGACACTTAACTAAGCCTGCCTTCACAGACAGATAACGAACGGATGAGATGGATTAAAGTCTACATATCTATTAGCAGAATGTGTTGGCTTTTTATAAACGCTGCTAGTGTGCAGTTTACCTTCTTCTATTAATTCTATATTACAATCTAACATCATAGCTAATTCTCCTTGTTCATTTTCTGATTCAAATGTGACTGACTACTCACTAATACCGGAAAGATGGAAAATACTACTACTACTACCAATCAGATCAAGAGATGAGGAATTGAAGAATCGTATAAACGAAGTTAGAATGTTGTGTGAGTAGTGTCTTGATATGATTATGAGCAGTAAGTAATTGTTCTCGAAACGTTGTCATCAGTAGTAAATATTACTGTATAACACTCCACTGTGTGAGACTTTATCAAAATAAATTTTATCCACAATGGAATTATATCAGTGCTTAAATTTTTCACAAGTCTGCAACTTCTATGTTGTTTAGTAGATGAAATCATACAGTCTGAATAGACTCAGATTTGAAGAGAGAACAAAGTTGAAATGTGAAGCACAATGCAATAATCAAGCATATATTCAGACGTTTCATACAGTGAAATTCGCGCTTAGCGATTTACACAATTTCAGCTGAAATTACATGACAGTTTCCTTCAGAAACTAAAATTATTGCGATCACCAAAATGTGATCTGTTTGATGCGATAAATTATATTATTATTATTGTATCCTTTAATTCCGACAGGAACATAGGACTTCAGCCGTGCGTCTCCATTGCGTTCTGTTCTCTGCTAGAGTCTTCACCTGGCTCCATGTCTGCCCACACGTTTTCATCTCCTCTTCACATGACCTCCTCCAAGTCACCCTTGCACTGACGACCAACTCGCCACTTCCCTTTCGGGTTCCACTCGAGCGATGGCTTGTCTAGTGATGTCACTTGATGGTTTGTTTCCTGAGAGTATGGCCAATCCAGTCCACCTCCATTTCCTCCTGCCTATTTGTTTCACAATCAGTTCCTGCTGAGTTGGTTCGCTCATTGCCAGAGATCCCTCACTATTTTTAATCTTTTCTGGCCAGTCATCTGATCTTGAGTGTTGAGCGAAGACAACTGTTAGTGAAGATGTGCAGTTTGTTTGAGATGCTCTTTATGACGCGCTGGCCAAGTCTCTGATCCGTATAGTAAGTGGCACTGACTGACTTCACATTGGAGTTGAAAATCCGGATCTTATTTTTGATGCTGAGTGCTGAGTGTTGACCTCCACACAGACTTGAGAGTAGTGAGAGCTTGTCTTTCTTTTCCGATTCTTGCTTTGATATCCTCGTCAGTTCCGCCTGTAGTTGAAACGATGTTTCCCTGGTAAGTAAAGGAGGTTGTTTCTTTCAGGTTCTTCCGATTTATGCTGATTGTTGTCACTTGTTGTTGTTGCTGTTGGTGGTGTTGGTGTTGCCCAGGAATCTTCATCACCTCTGTCTTCTCTATGTTCACCTGAAGTCCTATCTTCTCTGGATTCTTCTTGTGCCAACTTGTTGCTTTTCGCTTGCATATCTTCCAGTTTGTGGGAAATCAGACATATATCATCGGCGAAGTCCAGATCCTCCAAGTTTTTTGTGTGAGTCCATTTTATGCCTGTTTCCTCATTGCCCGCTGTTTGTCGCATTATCCAGTCTACTGCAGTCAAGAAAATCATTGGCGATAGTAGGCAGCCAGCTTGTCTTACTCCTGTCCTCACTTCGATGGGTTCCGTAAGTTTCCCGTTGTGGATTACTTGGCAGATGCGATAAATGGTTATCAAATAAAGTTATACACAAGTGCGTGAAACTACTTACTACTCATCTGATCACCCAAGTAGCTAGCGAGATATCGGATGATTTCGAACTGATCTGAATCAAGCGCATCACTGATGACATTGGTTTCAAAAGCCAGAACTAACTGCCAGCCGGTATGAATCGCTTCGATCTGTCTGGTAAGCACTATTCGGTAGTATTGTAACAACAGAAGACAAGGGCCAGGCAACAGATCGTTTATTATGGAAAATCAACACGTATTTATAGATTTTATGTACATTATTGTAGGTCAATGTTAGTGGAAAATACAGTCTGTTGATTGGTTGCTTCTCACACAAAGTTAACCTTGCATATCTTGTGGCTGTGTCAGTTCAACTATATGTTAACTGTATTCGCCTGTCCACCTTGACCTTTGACCTCAATTACTGTAAACCAATTTGGCTAGCGACCATCTTTCACCACAGTATCAGTGGGTAATCAGTAGTACCTAGTTTTCTGCATTGCAGACAATTTTTAAAAACTGATACCCCTTGCACAAGAGGTGAATTTCGTGACTCTTTAGTCTGGCTCACAATGCTTTGACGTTTCAAGCAATGAGTGCTGAGTTCGACTGTCAGTGGGAAACCTACCACTCGCTGCGGATCCAAGTTCATTCGCCCTGCCATATATAAAGGATATATCAGAAATCACTGCAAGACTCTTCAAACCTTTAGGAATTGACGTCGTACACAAACCAACAAAATCACTTCACTCAGTTCTATGTCAACCAAAAGACTCAACAGCTAAAGAAGATAAAACCAACATCATCTACAAAATAGATTGTAGCAACTGCGAAAAACACTACATTGGCCAAAGTGGACGTCCCCTTCGTCTTCGTATCCACGAACATAAGCTAGCCGTCAAAAGACATGACATCCACTCCCTCATATCTAACAGACAACCACGGACATCAATTCGACTGGGACAATCAGCGTTCAAATATTAGACAGAGGAAACAACAAGAATGCTAAAGAATTTTTAGAAGCTTGGCATTCCAATGAATCATCAATCAATAGACACATCGAGATAAACAAAATTTATCAACCGATAAGAAAGAATAGTCACACACAAAGGGTCAAAGTTCAAGTCAAAGAAACAATGAGTGACAATACAAGTAACCTAGACGGTGTGAAAACACACAAAAACAACCAATCACGTCCAAGTGGTCACCAGGAGAGATGATTAATAAACCCGTGGAGAAATCTAAAAGCTCACTTCAAACTGAAGTATGCGCTGAAGATGTTGCCTAGAAGTAGGGCAATGAAAGCTTCGCAAATTAACTATCCAGCTCAGAGAACACAACCACATCAAAATCCAAGTTCATTCATCTGACCAGCTGCAAAATAGGATGAAATGAGCATCCTTCATTTCACTGTTAGCCAATACCAAATAAGTAAAACCTCAGTAAGTGGTCTGACTTTAAAATCAAAAATCTGAAAAATCTGCTTTAAATCGACTAATACAGAGAGAGAGAAATTGTTCGTCAGTGTCAGTCAGCAAAGAATTCATGACGTAACAGTCATTTTAAGGCATAAATTATAAACAGTCATAACAAAGTTATTGTGTTTTTTTTCACAAATTTATGAGTAGTAACAAGTGACTTACTCTTTCTGTTTCGCTTTTCTGTCTAAATCATATTTCACAGTTTGTTTTGAAGGAGTAGTCAGGTCAGAAGAATCTCCACTGTATACTTCAGGAAATAATGATCGATCGGAATAATCGTATGAATGCTGATAATCTGGACTTTGAGCGGATGATGCCTAGAGAGAAAAATATGATATAAATAATATTTAAAGTAATAATAAAGCTGAAAGACACGAAAATGCAAAATATGTCCAAAAAATTTATGAGTATATGTATGAGATTTTAAATAAAGAATTTAGAACAACACACATTTAAGCGAATAATATTGCACTTTCAATTAGATCTCATCATCAGGCTTAGCTCTAATATTTAAATAAAGCAAGAACAACAGTGGTGATTTGTGTAGAATAATATGGTACCATCATTGCTCATTTCGTTGGCTTCTCATCAGCTGCTAACAGCCTAATTAAATTGTGAGGTTTATGTACAGAAAAGTTTTAACATACTTGCAAATTTTACATGATATCAGTTGACAGAAAGTTCCACAATTAGTGAACAGTGCTCAGAAAATTGCGCTTATATAGTTTTCACACAGGCAGTTCAAGTTTAAACAAAATAAATATATGCATACAATGGTAAAGGAGTTACGTAATAAAGACGAGAGGTGAGTAAGATGATGAGCAACTAATAAATTTGGTAACGATGTATTGAGTTCAAATCACGTCATAGAAACAAGAGACAAGCAATATTACAGATTATAAAAAAAGGGGTGAGGTTAAAGGCAAAGATTACGTAATCAGAGTAGAGAATAAAGACATCCAGTTACCAGACAGAGCAAGGAAAGACTAATAACTGCTTCTTTCTGAACACATAAATCTGGTTTGAAGTGTTTGATAGAAATTGCTTCGGCAAACTTGAGGAGAATGGAACTCCTTTGTCTATTGATAATTTTAAAGGATTTCTCGATTTCCACCTCATAACCCGTGTCAAGAAGATGACTGGCGATGGCACTGTTTAAAGAATTTGTTCCCTTTAGACGTAAGCTTTTTGGTACATGTTCAGAAAATCGTAGATATGCCCTTCTTTCTGTCCTTCCAATGTAACTGCTTCCGCAGATACATGTAAATTTGTATATACAGTTGGAGTTAACATGAGAAGGATATCTATCGATTTTTGATTGCATCAAAGAGCAAGTTGTTCGGTAGACGGGAACGAGCTTAGCTGCAGGATAGGCTATAGCTAGTGATGTACTCAGCCTTCTGTTGATCATCACTGCAATGTTTTCGCCTTTATAATCAAGCTCAAAGTAGATTGGCTTTTTTCCTACTGTGATTTGTTTTTCATTTGTGACTTCAGATCTTCCATACTTGTTGATGAACCTTTGAGGGTACCCATTGCTCTCCAATGTCTTTTCAAGAAACTCAAATTCTTCCTCTAATTTCTCTATGGAGCATATTCTCCTCTCTCTATAGTACAGAGTCTTGACTAGACCGCGTTTAAAGCTATTTGGACAGAAGCTATTAAAATGTAAGTATTGTCCTTTCCATGTAGGCTTTCGATAAATTAACTTCTGAAGACTACCGTCTTCTAGGCGTTGCATGGCAATGTCGAGGAAGTGGAACTTTCCGTCACTTTCATGTTCCATAGTAAACTCAATATTGTTGTGTGCATCATTGAATAATCTTAGTAAGTGTGAAGCATGACTTTCATTGTTGCACACTATAAATGTGTCATCAACATATTGACAGTAGGAATTTGTTTCGTTGATTGCATGCTTCAACTTTGTTCTTTCAAGGTTGGACATGAATATATCTGCTAAAACAGGGCTAAGTGGACTGCTCATAGCTACACCATCTATTTGGCGGTAAAGAGTGTTGTCAAATTGGAATTGCACATCCATGGTACACATAAGGAGTAGGCGTTTGAATTCCGACTCTGGGAGTGGCAGTGGCTCTAATATGCCTGCATTACTTTATAAATAAATATCAGCAAATATCAACCAATCATGGTGTTTTTTCTATAGGATGAAGATAAAATTGTACATATAAATTATGCAGTTAGTCATAATAATAGTGATGATAATAATAATAATAATAATTAGTGGTTGTATCAATAATAAGGATGAAAAAGTGAGGTGATCTGTGTGATGACAAGAATTACGAAAAACAGCATGATTCAACAAACAAATGTTCAGGTAGGCGTAGTAGTCGATAAAGGCTGAGATAAACAAATGAACCGATTAAGTAATGCTAGACTGACTGTAAGGGAAGTAAATGAAATACGTTTTCAATGAAGATGTGATAAGATTAAGGGATGATAAGAGAGGGGTTGAAAATATAAATAAGGGGTGGTGTAGAAGTCATTAGTTGGTTATGTCTTAATAGGCCAACAAGAGAGGGATAATGGCTGTACGAACTTCCTTCGAATGCATAGTTTTGCGTTTAATAGTTCGAATGCCTATCACCTCAGCTGTGTGCAGTAGACGAATACAAAGTCTATTGGAAAGATTCGGTGGGATACGATGAATTACTTTGAAAGCTCTCGTTTTCTCCACTACATGACCACTATCAACTAAATGTGACAAAATTGAGCTATGGATTGTTTTTTCTGTCCTTTGCCAAACCACTACGATGGGAGATGTTCAGTAGTGACACATTGGCTAAGCTGCCTAGTAGTACGCCCAACATCAATATCGCCGCTGGTGCAGCTGAATTGGTATTTGCACACAGATGTGGGAAAATTTATTCTTGTTATCCCAGAGAGCGAGCAACGAGGAGACAGGCATAAAATGAACCCACAAAAAAAACTTAAAGGATCTAGACTTCGTCGATGGTATATATTCATGTCTGATTTCCCACAAACTGGAAGATATGCAAGTGGAAAGCAACAAGTTGACAGAAGAAGCATCCAGAGAAGATAGGACTTCAGGTGAACATGAAGAAAACAGAGGTAGGTGATGAAGATTCCTGGCCAACAACAATAGCAAAAGCAACAACAACATAAAACAATCAGCATACATGGATAAATCTGAAAAAAGCAACCTCCTTTACCTACCGACCTACCTGAGAAGCGTCCTTTCAACTGCAGGTGGACAGGACTGACGAGGATATCAAAGCGAGGATCGGGAAAGCAAGGCACGCTTTCATTATTCTCAAGTATTTTGTGGAGATCAACAGCACTCATCATGAAAAATAAGATCCGAATTTTCAACTCCAATGTGAAGTCAGTGGTACTTACTATATGGATCAGAGACTTGGTGCCGAGCCGCAACGCGTCATGAAGGGCACTTCGAACAAACTACAGAATTTCATCAACAGCTGTCTTCGCTCAATACTACTCAAGATCAGATTGCCGGCCAGAAAAGATCAGCAACAGGGAGGGATGTCTGGTAATGAGCGAACCAACCAAGCAGGAACCAATTGTGCAACAAATATGCAGGAAGAAATGGAGGTGGATTGGAGGCGATAGTCTGAGAAAACAAACCACCATCAATTGACATCACACGCAAGATGATTGCTCGATTGGAACCCGAACGGGAAGTGGTGAGTTGGTCGTCAGTGCGAGGGTGGGGTGGATTCTATTGCAGCTTCTTCATTAAAGGCGAGAGTGTTTTCAAATTAGCGTCAAAATTTACCTATAGTGACAGCTGTTATTAATGAAATGCCACTTCGTGTTATTTAAATAATCGATCATATTTTCAGGCTAGTGCTTCGGTGATTCAGTAGTATAGTAACCCCCGACTATGCACGCGGCCCTGGGACTCGATCCCTAGCTGGAACACTCCTTAAACCCGGCTTTGCCATTAGTAAGCCCGGTAAAGAAGGCAAGTTGGGAGTGAGGCTAACAACACCACCATGTGAAAAAAAAGTGACCAATACTGAAACTCCAGTTTTTAAGCTTGGTCTCCTCTGCTCCACTGGGAGTGCAAAGGAATTAAGAAAATTTCAGACTTAGGTTTGTAAGACATCTCAAGAAAAACACATTAAAACCATCAGAACTGTTATAATTTTCGGTAACAACACCCAAGACAGTTATCCCTATATGTTGTCCGTCTGATACTCTGAATAACAATCAAGAAAGCAACAGTGACGACATGAATACCTTCTACTGATTGGTATGAGTATTTGGAAACTACTCATATTAAGTACAGTAAACCACTAAATGCTATTTTAACTTATTTTAAAAAAAATAGCCTGTAACGAATCAAGTAGGCGTGTTTCGTCCCATTTTGGACTCGTCAAATAGATATACTTGCTTCCCATCACTTCGAAAACCAATGTTGTCTACTAGATTACAGAGCCATTAGAACTACTTCACGTACAATTTGATATAGAATTGTTGGCAAAGTTAAACTTTGCGCACTACTAACTACCAATCAGCGAATGACCTCGAACGCACCAATCACGTGAAGGAGCCATTTTGTGTACAGAAAACATATATTTATGAAGAAAAAATGCATAAAAACTGTATAAAAGTGTTACAAAGGATACCTTGCTCTCACACGTGATAAAAATAGCCCTCAGTTTTAGGTTGGAGTATCAACAGAGTATAATTCCATTGTGGGTAAAATTTATTCTGATAGAGCCTCATAATGTTATGCAATAATATTTACTGGGCAATAAACTGTGCTCGAAATGTGGTCGTCAGTAAATATTACTGCATAACACTGGGAGACTTTATTAAAATAAATTTTACCCACAATGGAATTATACTCTACCACAGTGCACAAGTCCTATTCTTATATCAACAGAGTAATTTAACCATATTCTATGCATGTAATTATTTCGGTCTTCTAACCCTAACAATAACTCTAATCTCTCCTGAACCTAACCCTAACGTGAAAATATGCCTAAACTAACTGTAATCTAACTTGAACTAACCCTAATGTCACCTTTATTAGGTTAACCTTACCCTAACTTGTTCTTCGATTAAATCGTAACTTAATCTTCCCCAAACCTAAGCTGAAACTTGCCAGATATCCCATTTAATAGCATAACACTTCGATGAGCATATTTTATTGATGATGATAACATTATCTGCCAGGTTTCTAACTAACTTGCTCAGTGAGCGTTTCAAGGTCATTGGTGTGGCCGCACTCCATTGGTAGTTAGTAGTGCTTAAAGTTTAACTTGGCCGAATTATTTATTAAAGCGTGGAAGTTCCCACTGATTTTTCT